CCAGAGGCGTCAATTCAGACGTGAGCTGCAATAATAAATATTGTACATGAATATTGCAATGTAATTGGAATATATAAAAGCAGAGGCGTCAATTATGACGAAAGCTGCGTAATAGTAAAAAAAATGTAGATCCATATTGCAATGTAATTAATACGTGGATATGTACAATAGAATAAAACCGTTCAAGCATGTATTCTGATTTGAGATAGTGAATCATAAATATTGTTAAATGTATATTGTAACATAATTAACTGCTTACAATAATAGCTGAAACCAGAGGCATCTATTATGATATGAGCTTAGAAATAATTATTATAGATCACATTCCAACGTAATTATTTGGAATAATATGTAAAAACAGAACTCCTATTTTTGAAATAGTTGCGTATACGTAAGTTTTACTGCGCGGGTTTAATCATATTTAATTATAATATTTTTTACTTATTTACTAGTTATTTTTGTTACTTGTATTTCAAATGCAGTAATGTTTCACATCAATAGTGCTTATAGAATAGTAGTACTTAGAATGGTACTTGTTAATGGCAGTCACTAATAGAATTTGTCATATTACATATTTTTTATACTTCTTATATCGTTTTTTCGGAAAAAGCACTTTCTTTAGATTTAATATTCGTACTTTTAATTCGTACGTTTAATTTTGTGTCTTTTTTTGTTTCATTAAAATATTATATTCTTAAAGGTAATATCATTTTTTAAAATGATGAGAATAAAAACTTTTATTTCGTTGTAGGAAACCATGTTATTTGATAAAACAGCATTATTGTTTTAAATAATATTCTCTAAAAGTTTATTTAAAAATTTAGTAATTCGATTGATTTTATTTGGATTTTCTTAGATTTTTTATTTTTTTTTTGTTTGGATTAATCGTTATAACATTCTATTAAAAATATAAAAGTAATTATTACTAGTTCACTACATTACATCAATATTCATCGCATATCGAATGTTGTTGCATTGTTTCAATATCTATGAGCAAATTATCCAACAAACACCAAGTAAAAGTTATATAACTATTATTTGGTGTTTGCTAGATATGTTATAATATATTGTGAACAAAATAAGAATACATTATATAAGCATAAATCGTAAAAATATCGTTGGAGTCATTGGGAATCATCGCATATCGTTCTATCCTCAGGTTAAGCAATACTTTACGGAGTCCAAGACATGGATGGTGACCGGTGGTATGCCGCTTGGAATCGAAATTATAGATAATTGAAGGAGGATTCACGGAAGTTTTAAAGTGTTTATTGACAATCCTCGATACCTAGTGGTTTATGAGACACGAGAGAAAATAAGGAATTATAAATATATTTTTTTAAATATTATGATTTTCTCATTTTTCATCTTCGCATAATAATTCTCAGTATTTGATTACTATCAATATTTAATAGAGATTTTATTATCAATATTCATCAGAAATTAAGTACTGGCTACTAAAAATTATTGAATTACTGGTAATACTTAATCACTAATAATTTTTCAGTATTTCTTAGTATAATATTTCTGCGTATATATGGATTATATGTATATATTGCATTCCAATATTGTTATGATATTACAATGTAATCTTTCTAAGGCAGGACATTTTACCGTTGCTGCAACATCATAGTAATGTTAATCACAGTCATATTATATGTATTTGCAATGTTACAATCTTGCAATGAAATATTTCTGCAACGTTTCTGCAATGTTTCTGTGCTGTATGGGTACCGACGCTTTCGAAGTTCGCGATCGCGTTCAGCATCTCCTTAAGTAAACGCACTAAGAAATCCATAAACTTAACATGTTACGGATGCTTGTGCGGAGGCTAACAGATCTGTTGCCATTCTGTCTACAAACACTGTTGACAGACTCTGCGCAAAATCTACTCACGCAGGTTTGGCTATCTGAGATCCTAATCTTTTTCCAGACCCAGATAGCCAAACTTGCGTGAGTAGATTTTGCGCAGAGTCTGTCAACAGTGTTTGTAGACAGAATGGCAACAGATCTGTTTACAGAATCTGGACACAGAATCTGTTCTGACGACAGAACAGCTGATAGAGTCTGCTAACAGACTCTGACATCAGATTGGCGGCAGATTGCGCGCAAATCGTAGATTCTTCAGTTAAATTTTTGGTAAAAAATTTTCTCATAATTTTTCATAATTACTCATAGAATGAGCGCTTTCTCATAAATACTCGTAAAATTCAATTTAAAAAAAAGTTTTTCTATATTATTTTTTTCATAATTTTAAAGATTTTCTCTGGTGAGATTCGAACTTTAACCGAAGATCTTTTGGATAATCGTCTTTGGACACTATATTAATTCCTTACTTGATAAAAAGTGCTTTATATTGCCTACTTAATGTTTAAGGAAGAAAAATCTTAGAGTTTGTTCGCCTTTTAAATCGCAAAATATACCTAATATAACCTACACGAACAAATTTCGAGCAGAGCTTGCTATCAACTTTTGATGGCAAATAGATAACAAATTTGATGCAGGATCTGTTATGTCAAATCTTGCTGCCAAATTGCCGCCAGATATGTGGCAGAGCTTGTTGTCGGATAATTGCTGCAGATTTGCAGCAAAAATGTGCAGATCTTGTAGCGATTTGACAGCAGATTGGCAGCAGAAACCGCGCAGATTTTGCTGCGCTGCAAATTTGGCACCAATTGCCCGACAGCAAGATCTGTCGCCAAAACCGTAGCCTAATGTAGACACAGATGGCTATGGTTTTGCTGTGGGTTTTTGATCAAATTTGCTGCCAATCTGCGCGCAGTCTGTGCTCAGTTTGTTTACTGGGGAGATATCTTGAAATGGCAAAATTATGTCGATGCAATTTTACGGCAATATCCAAATATCTGCTTTTTGTCACATTACACTGACATCACTGACATTTCGCTTGAGATGTGGGAAAAGACGGACTTTTCAGCCTTACCATAATATTACATTAATATAATTTTGCTATCTCCAGATATATCTGGGAGAGAGATTAGCACATAACTGACGGCAGATTGGGGACGCAGATGTTTATGGATCTGTCGACAGATCCTGCTCGAATTCGACAGATTCTGTCGTCAATCTGATGTCAGTCTGCACACAGATTGTTTATTGGGGTATAGTTGTGCTACGTGAAATCTCATACAGCACAGCAACGTTGCAGCAACATTGCAGCATCATCGTTTTGCAATGTTGTGACATTGCAACAACGTTGCAAAATGTTGCTGCAATACTACTGTAACGTTGCAGCAACGGTAAAATGTCCGCTTGCAGCAATATAACAACGCAACTGTGCAAGCAACATTGCAATGCAATATATATGTAATATTATTAACATATTTTATTATACAAAGTAAAATCCCAGATAACACCCTTACAGGAATATCATACTAATAAATACTAAAAAATTATTAGTGATTATGTACTTGTATTACCAGTAATTCAATAATTTTTTCATCAGTACTTAATTTCTGGTGAATACTGATAATAAAATCACTATTAAATATTGATAGTAATCAAATACTGAGAATTATTGTGCGAATGTGAAAAATGAGAAAATCATAATATTTAAAAAAATATATTTATAATTCCTAATTTTCTTATGTCTCATAAACTACTAGGTATAAGATTGTCAATACACACTCCAAACTTTCGTGAATCTTCCCTCGATAATTTCGATCCCAAGCGGTATACCATCGGTCACCCATTTATATCCTGACTACGTTAAAGTGTTGTTTTAATCTGACGATCGGTACGTGGCGATTTCCAGTGATACTAATGATATTCTTACGATTTGTGTTTATAATTTATCCTTATAGTGTATCCTCACAGTATATTATAATATATCTAGCAAACATCAAATAATAATAGTTACCCTACTGAAAAATTTCTGTTGAGATAACAATAGAATTCCCAATTCAATTCTCAGTTTAATTCTCAATTGAATTCTCAAATGCCGTTTCCGAAAAATTTCGCATGTAAGATCTCAATTGAGATATTTGTATTTGATGGAAATAATTTATTGAAAATATAATAAACTTTTGCTGAAATGCGTTTGAAAAGCATTCGCAATTTTGACCCAATTTCATTTAAATTTCATTATAATTTTATTAATATTTCAGTAATATTATAGTATTGGGAGCACAAATTAGTTCGGTCCGTTTTCAAAAGATAGCTCTGGCTGTTATGAATGTTTCATAGTGATAGTTGATTTCGGTGGTTTCAGAGAGGTTAGACATCGAGTGTATATCAGTTGGACACGGGGCAATTGGACACAGTCCAATCACAAGTCGCTGTTCCAAGGGACCCTACAAATGTCTCTAATCACACGGTGCTGTGATTGGCTGTGTCCAAATGCACCGTGTCCAAGTGCACCGCTCCCTTAGACATCTGTCAATAATATGCAGTTTATATCGCTTTGAGTTTCATACAAAACCCCTGTTTTTTACTGTGTTGAATATGTCAAATTTTGTTAACTAAGCAGCATTTGCGGAAGGTTTTAGTTTTCTGCTTTAATTGGAAGAAAAGTGCAGCTGAAGCGCATCGAATGATTATAGAAGTTTATGGTGACAATGCTCCAACTGATAAATCATGTAGGGAATGGTTTCGACGTTTCAAGAATGGTGATTTCAGCGTTAAAGACAAGCCTCGCTTTGGACAGCCAAAAAAATTCGAAGACAAAGAATTGGAAGCATTACTCGATGAAGATCCGAGTCAAACGCAAGAGGAGATTGC